TCAATAATGTTGTAAAGCAAACAGCTGAATGACTTTCACGCCCATTATGGGAATCACTTTCTCTTGAATATGATCAATGCAGTGTAAATATTATTGTAAGCATTAGCATGAATGTGAATTCATACACCTACATTCTTGAAGACATAACTGATGTTTTCCTGTTAAATTAAATGTTATTAAAAGTTCTGTCAATGTTTGATTTCTCTATTGTTTACATGGAAGTTTATGGGTCGATACAAAGATATGTTCCTGATCTTATTTTGCGGTAAGGTAAGCAGATATCTGCATGTAGTAATTTCAGTAACTAGGCTGGTTATTACGTTTCCTAGCTCATTTCCGTTAACCTAAGATATTACCTCCTTGCTACTTATCTGCAAAAAATGCCATTGGGCAATGCAAACAACCAACATACCCAAACTCTACCAAAAGATGCAGATTTCAGGAAGGAAAAACAAAGAGAGACGTCAGAACAAATGGTGGCAGCCATTGTGGAAACGTTTACTTCGAATTCTCGCCTCTGAATACTAGGCTTCGTGGCTTCGCCTGGGCAATAGTTAAATAAAAGCGAGTCGTCTAATTGCGCTGCAAGCGGCGACCCAGCGATAAAATCAGTGTTTGTAAACATCGTTTACTCCGCCATTTTGAATTCTCAGGTGGGTTACCGGTGTACACCCGTTCCCCGTTCCCCCTTCCCCGTTACCACTTTTAGTAACATCCGAGCGCCTTGATCCAATTTTCTACAAGCTGTTTTAACGTACAGGAGTAAAGCCATAAACAGTAAATCTGTAATTTAACTCGTTTGTAACAGGTTACAATTGACTTGTTGTGGTCGCATGATTGAATCGTTTTTATCATGAAATGTAACCATTTTTTTTTACATTGAACTGCAAGTATCAATCGTGAGTATATGTTTGGTTTTTTTTTTTATTTTATAAAATTAGGAGTTTTTCTTGTATCTCATTGTAATTTTTTTTTATTGTCTGATTTACAATTGACTTCCTTTCGTTTAAACGACTTGTGAATATAGAGTCACAGTTCGAGGCGCTCTTGAATAATAAAATGGACTTGTGTGACTTACATTAATTTTAATCTGGACAACTTTACCTGTGGCCAAAAGACCGATCCGTGGCAATTTTGAAGAATTAGAAGCGGCGGTCGTTGTTTTCAGTGAGCTATTTATAAGAAGTTCTACTCAGAAGATTTTGATAAGAATGTCAAAAGATACCTAACCTGAAAGTGACTTCTACTATTCCCTTAATGATTGAGAACGAATGTTAAACAAACGATCGCGTGACTTTCAAATCGACGGGATTCCCCCATCTTTACAAAACGTCACATCTCATTTGTGAACTATCTCATTTCCAGTTGCCAGCGGCGCAGAATTCAACTAAAGTAAAACTGCAACTTGGTAAGAAATTCAACAAGTATACTAGTCATACATGTGTTTAATGACAACGATGGAATTGCTAAAAGGAGTAATGACAATGGTTTTTAGAAGAACAATTTTTTTTATTATTAACTTGTTGCGTGCGTGTACACAGAAACGAACTTCTCTAATGTACCGGTAGAATAAAGCTAATTACGTTCGTCGCTTACCGCCCGCGGAATACCGGCACTAACTCCCTGCTCGTTAAAATCAGTCAGCGGGTCTCTCAGAGTATCCTGAAGGGTAATTACTGCTTTTGAAAGTTATTAAAAGATGGCGCATTCAGTTCATTTACTTAAACTGTTTCGGTACTACTTGTTTTTACATGGGCGTGGGACAAAGGAAAATTCCGTGCCTTGCCCCAACGAGGAATCGAACTCTGTCTCGTCGATTTTAACCATCGAATGCTCTCCTACAGAGCTGGAGGGAGCTCAGTGGTGAGCTGGATCCTAACTAGGTTCATTGCGGATACTAAAGCGGAGGTCTTATATAAAGAAATTCTGTTGCTTTTGTGAATGTTCTTTAACTGTGGTTAATTTTTATGGCTGAGCTGATTTGGAAGATGCCTGACAATAGGTAACAAGAATTTTCGATATTTACTCAGATCGTCGTTTCTGAAACGAAAAATGTACTCTAACACTCATGCGTAATGTTTCCGAGCATTGACTTATCGACTGGGCTCAACAAGTTCTTATTAACCCATCGATTCCCCAGTAAAGTGTTTATACAATTATCCTACTTCTACTTAAGAGAATTGCAGTTTTCCAGCCACCAGAATTGAAGCTGGACTGAAACACATAACCAGAGTTTTAGATTTTGGAATTAAAAAGGAAGGAAAATAGTATTCGACAACGAAGTTAGCGATCTCAGAACTAAACACCAACAGTATTCACCAACGAAGTTGGCGATCTCATGACTTAACGCTAAAATCATTCAACCAGAAACTTCAAGAAAGAAACAAACAAACAAACAACAAAATGCCAAGGCAGGAAACCTAACACTTTGGTGTCAAGAGTATTTAATGAGTTGTGGGCTGCAATTTCAACCTATCAATTCTTCCGAATATTGTGTTTACACAAGTCTTCTTATTCTAATTGAGAGGATTGCCATGATTTATCATTTTATGAACCCTACCGTAGTTTTCCAGCTACCAGAACTCAAACTGGACTGAGGCACATAACCGGAGTTTAGGATTTTGAAAATAAAAGGAAGGGAAATATTTTCAACACTTTTGTTATCATTTCAGTTGAGGAACAACTAAATGAATGCTGTCCTTACGGAAATTGTGGCCCGTTTGATCGGGACCGCCCGCGGGACACCTCGATTGTCCGGGAAGAGTGGAATGAAGGGTCTGTACTTCTTTCACGCTGGATACTAGAGGAAATTCTACACTGCGCAAGCGTGGAATTATGCTCGGGGTTCCACCAACATTACGGCACAATGGACTTTACGTACTCCTCTGTTAAGGTCACGAACTAACTTTGCACGTCCC